TTTTAACTCAAATTCTTAACATGTCAAACATGTATTATGAATAAAAATCAAACTCAAACAACAGATAGAGCTCGCACGGTTTTTTTAACATCTGTAACAAAGAGATCTAGGCTAGTCGTGGGTTTTTATTTTGGTTTAATTTTAATTCGGATTGGTGTTGTAAAGATATTTTGTGTAATGTTGTCTCTAAGTTTTAGATTTGAGATGGTTTGGGCTTTTTTTCATTTATGTTTGTAGTTTTTTTTTTAATTGGTCTTGTTTAATCATGGGCCGCTACGGATGGATCCTGCAAAGTAAAATGGTTGAATTTAGCTGATGTTGGGTTTCTCTTCAGGCACCTGTCTGGGCCACATAAAAGTCTTAGTGTGGAGGGCGGGGTCTTCCCTACACCCAGGAAAGGGATGAATGATGGAATTCAAGTCGAATACTTTCTGATTGAGATTCTTTTGAATTCCGATCTCTGTTCTAGCTGGAATGGAAAGCTTCCAAGGTCTATACTTGGTGATAGAGATTCTTTTGAATTCCGATCTCTGTTCTAGCTGGAATGGAAAGCTTCCAAGGTCTATACTTGGTGATAGAAAAAGACAGAAAAATCGATTCTCTTCGGCCAGTTTGTCAGGTACTGGGAAACTGGTCTGACAAACTAACTAATACAATAAAAGAAAAGACGGAAAGAAGAGGCTAGGAAAAATCCTACACTGTATCGATGGAACTGAGTCTTCGTCTCAAGCAAAAGCAAAAAAAGATTCAACTATTGCTAGAAACTTAAGAGGAAAGCGGCCAAAAAGCTTCGAGAAGCTATTCTATTAACCTTTCAGAGATAGATCTTAACTCAAGTTGGGCCCTTGTTCAACGATAAGAAGAATGCGAACAAGCAAAAGAAAATTTGTAGCATACTCCCTAAAAAGGGACAGGAGCTCCAAGTTTTGTGCTGCCGAATGAATACTTAGAAGTAGTAAGAAAATGTGCAATAATAGTATGAAAATTTTCAAATAGAGTGGAAACATGAGTTGGCCTTTCAAGTATCTATAGAATAAGCACTGTGAACTATCGCCTTCAAAAGGATAGTGTACTAACAGGACCCGGGCGTGTTTCTATATGATTTGTATATATATAGATTTGAAGTTAGCATATATATATATATATATTATGTTTCTTATTTGATCTTCTTTGTAATTATTGGATAGTGTATTTTCCTCGCATTATGGAATATTATTTTTTGAACAAACAGTCACTTTTAACTTGATTTGTACTCTGATATACAAACCACCACAACAACCGCAGTCAATCTAGAGGTGGAAAAATATACTGAAATATCGCATATATCATACAAAAAATATACTTAAAATACTAAATTTTTGGTATACCATAAATTTTGGTACAGTAATAATATGCACTTCCGATTTTTTCGGTATTTTAGTATATACCAGAAAAATCGAAATACCAAAATTAGTATTTTTTATTTTTTATATTTCATATTTTATATATGGTAATATATTCTTAATAATTCTAAATAGTAAAAAGAAATTGTAATGAATCATCACACAATTTACATGTCAATCCGCGGTCCACCACAAAAATATGAAAAAGGGCAAATTGGTACATTACATTTATAAATAAATAAAATAAAAAATAAAAATGCCCAAGTTATATCGAAAGCCCTAATTATCCATTCTACCTAAATACACAAACGAAAGCCGTTGTCCCGCTCGGCCACTCCATGCCTCCACCTGTTCAGCCGACGCCGCCGTTCTCCATCGCCGTTCCAGCCGTGCCGTTCATCACCCACTAAACGGTTCACGACACTCAGATACCGTTATTCCAACCACCTCGATCTACTTTTTCATTGGACAATTTCTAGTGAGACTTTTTTTTTTCTTTGTAGCTTACTATTTGTTTTCGAGCTTATTATGTAATATTTTGAATGAAATTTTTAAGTTGAATGTAATATTTTGTTAGAACAATTTTTTTATGAATATTTCTAAAATAAAGTTAACAACACAAGTAAATAAATGTATTTTTTGAGAAAGTTCTATGATAACGAGGGTAATCCAAACTCATGTATTGTATTCATTTAAAAAATAAAAGAATTAAATGCACTTTTCTTTATTTTTCTGGATATTTATGTATAAATTATACTATTTATAATTTGTGTTAGCAATTTCACTGTGCAAGAAGAACTTGAGTTGGTATTATTCAAAAATATATATATATATAAGTAGTATTTGCAAGCTTTTAATTCAGGTAAAGTTCGATATACAAAATAGTTCATTGAATTTTTTACTTTATACAATGTGATATTTTAAAAAAAAAAAAAAAAAAAAAATTACTTTTTTTAAAAATAATTTCAAATTTACAAATGATATAAGAATCTTCTCATTCATTGCCTATTCCATCTGAAACACCAACGACAATGGACATTGAAACAGATGATGATTCTACAAGTCGAAAACGACCATGAGTGGGTGCAACACAAAAGCCTCCCCAACATCTGAAACAGAGAAGTCCATATTGGAAGGATTGCGGTAGAGTGTGAAAAAAGTTGAAAAATGAGACTGTTCAATAGTTGGCGGTGTGCAAGTACTGTAAAGTGAAATGTAGAAGTACTAGTAAACTTAAAAATCATTTGGAGAAGAGGTGTAAGTCAAGTCCACTATACAAATAGGGTAGAGTAGGAAAAAGGTCAAACTACATTAACAACTGAGAGATGAGACCAATAAGCTCTCTGATTTCACGTACCTTTAATCAAAAGCAGTGTGAACTGAAGCTTACAGAATTTGTGATTGCTGATGAAATATCTTTTCAAATTGTTGAGGGAAAATGATTTCAAGGTTTTGTGAAAGAACTTCAACTGAAGTTTAGGATACATGATAGAGAAAAAAAGAAAAAAAAAAATTGCTAGTATGATTTATGAATTATTCTTAAGAAAACCAAGATAAAAAAATGTGGTTGGTGGCCAGAGGGTAAATATTACGACTAATACTTGGACATCTATCCAAAATATCAACTATATAATGAGTCATAACAGACCACTTTTTAGATAGTGATTGAAAGTTACATAAAAGAATAATTAACTTCACAAAAATTACTAGTCATGCGGGTGAAGAAATTGGCAAGGCAGTTGAGATTTATCTACAAAAGTGAGGAATAGATAAAGTATTTTCAATTGTTGTTGATAACATTTCTTCAAATGATACTGCAATTGATTATTCGAAGAAAATGATGAAAAGTGAAGATACTTTATTGTTTGAAAAAAATATTTGTATTTAAGGTGTGCATTTCCTTAACTTAATTGTTAAGATGGTTTGAAATAGTTAAATGATGGTATAAAAGCCATAAGGAATGCAATTGTTCTCATTCATTCTTCTTCCTCCAAGTTACAAAATGTTTGATGTTGCTTTCACATATAGAAGAGTGTTTGAAATGATTGATGAAGAATGATATCTTTTTATAAATTATTTTCATGAAAATGACGATAAGGATAAAGAAATGATAAGGCCTCTAAGTTATGAAGATTGGGAGAATGCAAAAGCATTTGTTCATTTTTTAAAAAAGTTCTATGATGCCACTTTAGAGTTAAGTGTATCAAAGACTCTTACATCTCAATTGATTTATCAAGAAATTATTACATTACAACTTGAGATTGAAAAAAAAAGGTCAATGATTTTTCGGACTTGACATTTCAAAAGGTAGCAAGTTCGAGGAAGTTGAAGTTTACCAAGTATTTGGAGAATTAGAAAAATATAAATCCTTTGATTTTAATAGTGAATGTTTTGGATTCGAGAAAACAAGCTTCAAATCATCAAAGTTGGCATAAAAAAATTGGGAGGCACTAGTAGTGAGATTTAAGAAGTTCTGATCATGTTAAAAGAAATTTGATAAGTTTGTTGTTGGAATGCAAATGAGTAAATGATATTATGCAAATTGAGAAGCAAAATATCGGTAATTTTGATGAGCGAGATGAAATTAGTAAGTTTGGTGGTGGCCTTTGTGACGAATTGTTCAATGAGGCGGATGAACAAAATGAAGTTGAACAATTGCAAATATCTAATAAAAAAAAAAATTAATCTTGTTCTTTTTTGAAATTGCGGAAAGGAAATTAAATAAGGTATTCGATTCTTTCACTTATTGTCAAAGATATATTTGCAAAACCAAGTTCAATCTTTGCTATTGAGTTGACTTTTAGTTTGGACAAAAAAGGTTGCTGATTCATTTAGAAATAGTCTCGGTCCGAAAATGATGGAGGCGTTGTTTAGAACAGAGGAATTCAACATTTATAAGGACCCAAATAAAGACGAAATTAGTTAATACAAGAGATTGAAAAAATTGACAATGGTAAGTTATTATTAAGTATAAATTTACAATAATTTATTTTTATTTTTCTGCTAATTTAGTTTAAATTATTAATAATTGATACATTTATACTTTTCAGTTTCAATGTTGTTGAAAACCACTAGAGATCTTTCACCCAACATCTACTAATTTGTCTTATGTTAACTTTGAAGTAAAATTATTAGAAAAAAATATATAGATCTTAGATACAAAATTTAATATACAATCTACATAAATAAAATTTTCTTAGTTTACTTCAAAAATGGTTTACGTGCATATTTTAAATGTCCGATATCAAATTTAAATTTCGATACTTCGGTATAATAAGATATATATCAATATCGTTTAAATTTCAATATTTCAATATAAATCGATCTCATTTAAATTTTAATATTTCAATATAAATCGATATATACCGATAACGTAAAAATAATTCAACATACCTAATAATCGCTACGCTACAGTATAAAATATAAATCATACCGAATTTTAGGTATTCTGATTTCTCGGTTCAGGAACAATATAATAAACTACCACATACAAAATTTCAATACAGTATGTCATACCAAACCAGCCCTAAGCCAATCATCATCATTAATACCACAGCCAAGAATAATAGCAACAACAATAATAACGCAACCAGCAGCCTAAAACCATAAAGCCAATGCTCAAGCAAATGAGTCCAACAGCCTAAAACCATAAAGCCAATGCTCAAGCAAATGAGTCCAACACAAACACAAATTCAAATCTGCCACAATGTCAATGTCAGTATCCAAACCAAAGTCACAGCATACCACACACAAACCAGAGTAGTAATAAAGTTCAGTCACAAATCAGTATTATATAGTAAGCAGTATTATCCCTCTTTCCTTGAACATACATGACCTCAAAAACCATCACTCGTTCAACGACAGCGAAGCCATTTGCTCGGCTGGGCTGCCACCCTGCTGCTGCTGCTGGGACACATTCCTCAGGACTTCCATGGCCTCTGCAACCTTGGCTTTAAGAGCCTCAGGCGACTCCAACAAGTGTAGAACTTCTGTCTGATCCATTTCCAGAAGCATGCCCGTCACCTTAGCCGCAGTCTCTGGCTCCAGTTGTTCCACCAGCGGGTACAAGTTTTCACCCAACATCTGAATCATAAAAACAGTTAATCACCACCTACATCCACTACACATACACCTTCGATCTAACTGCAATATATCACCTAAAACACATTTTCAACTAGTCCTATAGCATCACCTTAAATTGATTCCATATATTTACATTAGGATTTAGGTTTCCACTTATATTGGCAAAGAACTGTGTCTCAACTTAATCACAGAAATACACTAAATTTCTTACATCAAGAAAGCTCTTTTAATTGTGTTTGTTTGAGGGTTTGGCTTTTTTGTTTGGATTTTTTAGTAAAATTTTCAATTTTTAAATAATTGTTTAATGTGATGTTTTAAGTACAAAACTAATTTTTAGTATAATATAAAATATGAAAAATAATCATTTGATTTAATATTTTGAGGAAAAATCAAATGAATACTGAAAAATCTTTTAAAAAATCCACAAAGAATACAAACTTTTTTCAAAATAATCCTATGGATAACATTTACTAACTTGCACAAGATAGCTTCTACATTTGTAAACAAGTGCTTCCAGATGAGAAAATGAAGGTGTTTCCAGAATAGCCAAAGCAATTCTTAAAAACTAATGAATGAACAAGTATCTAGAACAAAAATAGAATATCTCTATATATGAGGTTCCTACCCTGAGATTTCGAAGCAGGAAAGATACGGCCTCTACCCCTATTTTTGCCCCCATTCTCAATCCATGTTTATAGCATACTTATAATAAATTATGAAGTCTAAAGAAATAGTTAATGAAAAAGGAAATAATTTATTAATGAATATTTTAATTGCAATTGGTGATTCAGAGTATGTTTAGACCGTGTTTGGATTGACTTGCAACTTGATTTTATGTTTGGATGAAGTATTACAAGAGAGCCTTTTAGAAACTATATATATTTGATGTAATAAAATTGAAAATACATTTATGTCAATTTACCAAAAAATTTATGCAATTAAACACAATTCACAACTAATGCCTCTTCTTTAGTTTGAAACCTTATAAATTATATTCAAAAATATTAAATTATATAATATAATAAAAAAAATTCATGCCCTTTTGAATTTGTACTCAATTATATATTCAGTTTTAATATAATATATATATATATTAATAGTTAAAATGATATTTTCTATAATTTATTATTATTATTTAGTTAAAATGATATTTTCTATAATTTATTATTATTATTTTTACTGTTGTTAATATTACTACTACAAACCGAATAGGGTCAGGTAACAGCCGAAACCCAATGCCACCCTAGGTACTTATGTTAAACATTTTTTAAGCCCCAAAAGCTGCTTTTGCTTTCGGTAAATAATAAATCCAAAATTGTATAAATGCTTTCTTCAAAAGAAAAGTCCAAAAACAGATTCAAAAACCCAATCTATATTTTGATTTGGAATGAGAGAGGATGAGGCAATTTAAAAGAAAAAGAGAGACAGGAACAAAAATTTTGCCCAAATTTAACACTTGGACAAAACCTGTCCCTTGCCCAACCCTGATGCAGCAGATGAATCTTAGAAACTAGGTGAATTGATACTCACAGTCCTCTGTTCATTGGGAGAAGCATTTGCAAGAGCAGAGGCCAAAGCACCAATTGGAATTGGCTGAGACATTCCGGAATCACGCATTGGCATGCCACCCACATCATATGGAACAGAGAGCATTCCCCCTGCCATACCTTGCAAGGGAACATCAGGCATACCACGTCCAGGAGGGTAGCGATAACCGCGTCCCCTTGGAACCATCTGCAAACATAAGAAATTAATAAGCTGTACTGCGAAGAGTTTAACAGGAAAATGGACTACAAACAGAATACGCCGCAAACCTGTTGTTGAACTACAGGAACTGATTGTGGGCCCTGCTGCATTGGAGCAGAATTAGCCCTCCTTCCACCGGGACGGGGGCCTTGCTGCCCTTGTTGAACCATTGGCACAAACATGTTTGGCATCAGAGGACCGGTAGGCCTCATACCAGGTACAAGCTGCTGTTGATAACCATATCCAGCCTAAAGAAAAATTGTATTAAAAAAGAAAAAGGTAAAAGACCCATCACAAATATCCATTAGTCATGGAAAAATATCTTGATCACAATTAAAACCATCCAAGTCTCAATTACAGCATTCACTTACATAATTTCAAGGCAAGAATCAAATTACAATTCACTCAAATTAACAGGTTATAAAAATGAGAACTATAGAAAGTGGAAGTCCAGTACCTATTTAGCAATGACAACTCATTTTCACAGATTTAGATGTCTGACAATGGTTACCATGTGCACTTAGAATAATTAAAATTGAAAAGTTTACTCAGGTCTACAATATAGTGAAGGCATTTCGTGCTTGTTCTCTGAAAATTGTGAAGTGTATCACCTAGAAAACAGCAGATATGGTCCAAAATGTGACAGATGATGGGGGTTTGTGTTTTCAAAAGTCTCCAAAAAAGACCATATAATTCTCACTTAAAAATTCAGATATCCTACATGGTTATAATTCCTTGTGTCAAAACCCACTGCCTCTCCATAACTTGCTCATCTCAATGAACAATAATTATATAGCATACCACATAGTATCACTTTATTCAGCTCATAATAACATAGCATAAAAGCATATCTTCCTCCAGAGTAGAATCTTAATTTTGAAATCCAACTTGTTATTTTAACAGTAAAAGAAGCAGTTGAAAGATAGCATACTTGGGGAGGAATAATAGCAGGAGGTTGCCCATAGAATATTTGCTGCCCAAGACCCGGACCACCATGTGCATACATCGGCATACGAGGTGCAACAGTCGGTGCCATTGTCATTGGCCTCATCTGAGCAAATTGAGCCTGAATGGTGTTATAGAGTAATCTAAATCATTAGGGTTCAACCCAAACAAAACACCGAATTACAATAGATTTTGTGATCAGAAGTTCAGACACACAAAACACAACTAAAAGTAAGACCAATTCACAAAGAGGGAAAACAGAAGGCATTAAATGAACTATCATAATCCCCCTCAGAAACTTCAGTTTGGGAGCTCAGCATTTTTAATAACAGTTATAAGGGGGTGTCAAGTAAATAAATTGTGGGTGTGAGAAAAAAATAATAATAAATGAAAATAAGTCTATCTTCAGATACCTGTAGACGAGCTCTTCTATCTTCTTTCCTTTGAGCAAGTGCAACATAAAGAGGCTTGCTGGCAATCATTTTACCATTCATTTCAGAGAGCTGCAAACCAAATACTTACACATTACCGAAACCAGGAAAACTGCAAAATAAATAGGAAGAATGTATAAAAAATCACTCACAGCTCTAGCTGCTTCATCAGATGATGAGAATGCAACAAATCCAGACCCTCGGCTAATTCCCTTTTGATCACGCATGACCTGTATAAGTATTATAGCCAAAAAGTTACACTAAAGCCTTTCAGGTCACGAATGTAAGCAACAATGGAGAGATATAATCCACCAACCTTGCACGATGTTATTGTACCAAATGGAGAAAAAAAATCCTTAAGCATATCATCACTGATGCTATCATCAAGATTTTTGACATACAGGTTAGACCCTTGAGATTTGTCAACTGCTTCCTTAACACTCTGTTCAAAACGGTTCTTCAACTCCATCTCCCGCTCAGATTTCTTTTGAGCTCTCCCGACATACCATTCTTTGTTATCAAACTTCTTGCCATTGAGGGACTCAACAGCTCTCGCAGCATCCTCTGGATTTTCAAAGTTGACAAATCCAAAGCATTTTGATGTTCCATCTTCATTTCTCATCACCACAACACTGGTGATTGATCCAAACTCACCAAACATACTCTGAAGGTCTTCTTCAGTGGTTGATTCAGACAAATTCTTCACAAAAACATTGGTAAACTTTGTCTTGTCTACAGACATATCCCGTTCCTGCTTGCGAACAAAAGGTCCCACATAGACTTGCTTTCCATTCAGTAGCATCCCATTGAGCTTCTCAATAGCTTTCTGTGCAGATTCCTCAGTAGTATATTGCACAAAACCATAGCCCAAGGACTGACCAGAAGAATTAGTTGCTACTTTGCATGAGAGGATGCTACCAAAGGACGAAAATGTCTCGTGCAGAGCTTTGTGGTCAATGTCCTTATCCAAATTCTATACATAAACAAAAATATCTCATGTAACGATGATACACATATGATGAAATTGAGAGCCATGATATATGCATCCCTACTGAAAATTGAGAAGTGTATAAGAGACGGCACCTTAATAAAGATATTTCCAGTGCCACTTCTGCGAATGCTGGGATCTCTATGCGAATACATAATCCTAATGGGCTTTCCATTGAGAGGGGTAAAGTTCAATTCTGCCAATGCTCTCTCAGCTACAACACAGAGACAAACAGTTATATGTGATACTATTGGACATATAGCTTGTATTTACTCATATTCAAAGGTAGCCAATCTCAATTCATGTATGCATAAAACCAATGAATTCAGAAGACGGAAACTATAAAGTTCACAAGACATGCAACAAAATATGGATGAACTTGTATTGACAACCAAGCTAAACAAAATAAAAAAATAAAAAAATTAGGATTCTAGAACATGGAAAACTGCATTATCATATAAACTTCATCTGAATCTTTTAATCACCAAAATACTGAAGATGGCAAACAATGGGCATCTGATAGAGCACTCAGCCCTTTGTCATACAACAGTTTGGAAACAAAGGATGAGAGCCATTATATGTTTCTCCAAGTGCCAAGAATAAAATGTTCCAGATCAATTTCGTGTAACAGCGTCTCCTATATATAGATAGATAGATAATTTTACCAAGCTCAAAAGTTGCCAAATATGAAGCTACAAACCCGTGGTCAGTGGCTATATATCAAACACAATTAGCTTCACAAATACTCCCGGGAAAACGCACTGCTTAGTATTTTTCATATATATACAAACAAAGTGACTGGGTAGGCACGATTGTTCAATCAACCAAGTTAGGATACCGAATCAATCTTCCATTCGTGGTTATAGAAGAAGAAAAAAGAACCTAATCACTGAAAACAGAAATTAAGCTAAGTCATACCATCTTGAGGGTTGCCGTAGTTGACGTAGCCATATCCAAGCGAGCGCCGGGTAGTCAAATCCCTACAAACCCTGACAGACACCACTTCCCCCATCTGGCTGAAAAGATCGTACAGTTGCGAATCGGTGACGTTTCCGTCCAGATCGCCCACGTAGAGCGAGGTCACGAAAGGGGCGCCACCAGAAGAGGCCGCGTTCACCACCTGAACCTGAGGCTGCATCTGAACCTGGGCTGCCATCGGTAATCAGAGAAACCAAAACCCTAAATCGATGGACGGATTTTTTTCCTTTTCAATAGTTTTCTGATTTTTTTGACTTTTTCCCGATAACTTCCCTCTCCTCTTTTTTATTATCGGAATCAAAGGGCAACTCAACAAATTCACCTCGATTGCTCGACCAAAAACGAGATTGAAACGAGATAAAATAGTTTGGGATTTTTTTTTCGGCGATTTTTTCAGATTTTTTTGCTTTTTTAAAGATTTTTAAGAACGAGAGGAGAGGGAAGGATTCATAAGTCGGAGATCCGACGGAATAGAGGAAGATTCACCGCCAGGACGACGGGCGGCGACGCCGGAAAATGGCGGAGAAGAAAGGGAGAAAAAATTGAGGACGGCAGATAACTGCTCGCTGCAGAAACCCGTGTGCCTTGCGGCAGCGCGATTTATATTGAGCAAGAGATGGATGGAATACGTGTTCCCATGTAAACCCTAGGATAAACCGTCCCACGAGATATGCTCCGTTGGATTAGTCGCGGTGGGCCCCTTCCTCGATTGTGCAGGAAGCAGTAACGTGTTCGACGTTCCTTGCGTAGTAATAGAAATAAGAATATTTTTAATTGTATTTTAAAATGAATTTCAAATAAAATTTTAATTTTAATTTTTTTAAACAATATTTTGTAAAATAAAATAATATATTTTATTATTTTAATATTTTTTAAAATAATATTTTGATATAAAATTTTGTAAAATAAAATAATATATTTATTATATGTATAATTGAATATTGTTAATTTTTACTTAAAACTGTAAAAAAAATAAATTCATTTTAGTTTTTGTCATTTCAAAAATAATTACTCCATTAAAATAGTCTTATAAAAAAAATAAAAATAAATAAATAAAATAAAAAAAGATAAATTTGTTATACATGGATGATTTTAAATTTAATGTACAATCAAATTTTGCCTATAAATAGGCTTGTGCCGTAGATTGTCTTTAATTCAATGAAAACACAAAACTCATTGTGTTTGTTGGGAGTTTGAATTTTGAATTAAGAATTTTAATAATAAAAATTTTGAATTTGAATAATTGTATAATATAATATAAATAAGTATTGATGTGATGTTTTAAAAATAAAATTAATTTTTAATATAATATAAAAAATAAAAAATATATATTTTATTTGATATTTTTTGAAAAAATAAAATAAAATGTATAGTAAATTGGAAATCCAATCCCCAAAAAAACACACCATAATTACACTACAATTTTTTCTGTCTCTCTCCCTCTTCAACATTACAAGCATATATACATACCTATATTTATTAATGTAATCATTACATTTATATATATTATCTTATGTATATACCATACACGCATCCATACTACATATATATATATACTTAATACTTACCAATATATAATTTATTATATAACATGTTTTATTATATAACATGTTATTAGAACGAAGGTTCTTGCCTATTTTATTTATGGTAAGTTTTATTTCTATATTGTCTATATTATATATTTTCTACCGGCAATAATTTCTTAACTTGGTCTCTGAATGTAGAAATGCATGTGGTCTCTATGAGCCTTGTTCATACAATTATCAATGAAAATACGGCTGCAAGTCAAGATTGGGCTAAGGTTATTATTTTCATCCGTCATCATTTTAACATTCCTCTACAGTTTGAATATTTGACGGTGAAAGATCCACCAGATTTGTGAAATGAATTAAGGGAGAGATTTAGGCACTTGAAATATATCACTCTCCCAAAAGCCCGACATGATTGGCTAAATCTGCGATTGTAGGATTTTAAATATGTTACAGAGTACAACTCTGTTATCCATCAGATTACATCTTAGTTAAAACTCTGCGGAGAAAATGTTACTGAGAATGATAAATTGGAAAAGACTCTCTATACCTTCCATGTTTCTAATGTTATGTTACAACAACAGTATCGTGAGAAAAACTTTCAAAGGTACTCACAGATCATAGTATGTTTTTTATTAGTTGAGCAAAATAATGAGTTATTGATGAAAAATCATCAGTCCCGGCCCACTGGTTCCAATTCGTTTCCTGAAGCAAATGTGACATTTTCTGAACGAGGCTGAGGACGTGGTAGAGGCCGTAGATGTGGTCGCGGTCGTGAGAGTCAACGCGGTCGATATACCCCTTACAATCGCTGTAGTTTTGATATTAACAAGATGCAGAGTAAACCTCAATATGGAGATATAGCCGAAAAGGCTAAACAGGGAAAGAGGCAAATTGACATTTGTAATCGGTGTGGCATTGAAGACCATTGGGTCAATACCTGCAGAACAACCAAACAGCTAGCCGATCTTTATCAAGCCTCACTACAAAAAAAAAGGGAAAGAGGTCGAGACTAATCACATTGATAACGATGACGACCATGATGATGATCTTCTGGATTACGACACAACGCATATTGATATAGCGGATTTTGTCGTAGATCCAGCAAACCCCCAGTGATAGACATATTATGTCATTTTATATTTTGTAATATTTAAATTATCGCATATTACCTTTTTGTAATCCATTTTGTAATACTTATATCTGCCTTTATTAATACTGTGTTTATTTATATTTGAAGGTTAAATGGATGCCAATAAAAATGATGCAAATATGTGTTTCATAGACAGTGCAACGACACATACTATATTGAAGCACGAAAAATATTTCTCCCATTTGAAAAGGGAAAAGATTAATGTCAATACAATAAGTGGCAGTGCAAAGTTAATTGAAGGCTCTGGAGAAACCATTATATTTCTCCCCGCGGGGACAAAAATTGTGATTATGCACTGTTGGCCATTAAAGCTCGAAAAAATTTACTAAAACTTTCATGACATTCGAAAAAATGGTTATCACATTGAAACTATGAGTGATACCGATGGTGAATTTTTATTGATCACCAATATCATTGATAAAAGAAAATGCATAATTGAGATATTACCCTCACTCTCTACTGGCTTATATTATACCAGATTAGGTGTTATTGAAACACACCTCATGGTAGATCAAAAGATTACCGATTTTCAAATATGGCATGATCGTCTTAGACATTCTGGCAGTATAATGATGAGGCGCATGGCCATTCATTAAAATGTCAAAAAATGTTAAACTCAAATGAGTTAATCTGTGTTGCCTGCACTCAGAGAAAATTGATAACCAAATCATCGCCAACTAAAGTAGGTATTGAATCACCTACATTTTGGGAAAGAATACACGGGGATATATGTGGACCAATTGACCCACCGTGTGGGTCATTTAAATATTTTATGGTGTTTATTGATGCATCTAACAGATGGTCACATGTCTGTTTATTATCTATTCGCAATATGACATTTGCAAAATTGCTTGCCCAAATAATTAAGTTACGGGCACAATTCCCCGATAATCCCATTAAGACTATATGTCTGGATAATGCTGGTGAATATACATCGAATGTATTTGATGATCATTGTATGTCGATTGAAATTAATGTAGAGAACCCAGTTGCTCATGTTCATGCACAAAATGGACTGACAGAATCACTTATTAAAATATTGCAAATGATTTCTTGACCATTACTGATGAGGTCTTTGTTGCCTGTTTCAGCTTGGGGGCATACAATCTTACATGCAGGAACACTTATAAGAATGAGTCCGACAAGCTATCATGGCTACTCCCCTATGCAGTTAGTATTTGGTTACGAAGCAAATATATCTCATCTACGTATTTTTTGTTGTGCTATTTATGTTCCTATTCCACCCCCAAACGTACAAAAATGGGTCATCAACGTAGATTGGGCATTTATGTTGGATATGAATTGCCGTCAATTATAAAATATCTTGAACCTATGACGGGTGATTTATTCACTGCAAGATTTGCAGATTGTCATTTTGAAGAATCATATTTTTCGACATTTGAAAGAGATAGAAATGAACCGAAAAGGGATATTAATTGGAAAATTCCATTGAATTTTTGTGATCTTCGTACAAAACAGTGTAAACTAGAAGTTCAACGCATTATACATTTGTAAAATATTACAAATCAGTTATCGGATGCATTTAATGACTCGAGTAAAGTCACTCGATCATATATTCAAACTGCTAATACTCCGGTTAAAATAATTGTCCCTGATGGACAAATTAGAAGTGCTAATGAATCAGCGACACGCTTGAAGCGTGGTAGACCACTTGGTTCCAAAGACAAACATCCTCGAAAGAAAAGATGAATTAATGATGATAATAATGAAAATATCATAAATGACATTGATAAACCTCAATCCAATGACGAAGTCAACCCTGAAATAATTGCTCCAGAAGAGCACGATCTTGAAGAACATGATGAGATTATTGAAAACTCAATTAACTATGTTACTTCAAGAAAATATTGGAACCGTAAAGAGACAATTATCGATAATGCCTTCGCATACAGTTAGCACTTGATATAATGGAAGAAAATGAGGATCCAGAACCAAAATCGGTTCATGAATGTAGGCAAAGAAATGACTGGCCAAAATCGGTTCAGCGCCTCAGCTATCTGGCCGACCTGCATTTCTAGAATTTTGATCGAAGCAGATGTGTTTCTTTGGAACTTATGGTTTGCCAGCTCAGTGTTTTTTCATAGTTCCTCCAGACTCAGCGGCTGATTAGTCGTTGTGGAAGGTTGAGCAAAGACAGGTGCCTGGTGCGGAAAGTGAGGGGTCTGATAGTATGGTTATTGTGAATAATATCCCCCTTGATAGTATTGTGGTGCAGCGAACTGTTGCGGCTGATAAAATTTTTGTTGAGGACGTGGACCGACAGGCCTTTGGGTTTGCCCCTTCTGGAACTTCCGGTATTTATGAGGGTTTTTATTGGCCATGTACAAGACCTCCGTTGGATTCTGAGTATGCTCAGTTGACCTCGTAGCAACCTGTGGGCTAGAGTGGTCATCATAGGCGCCCTCCTCAACGACCACGACTTTATTTATTACATGTTTATTTTTATTACTAAAAAGATCTTGTTTCACGAGCTTGACCAGCTCTTTGACCTGGACAAACAAGTTGTCTATCATTGCATCCTATGAAACAGTAGTAGGAACCTGGTAAAGACCCCGTGATAGCTCCTGCTGGCCTCCAGCTAGCTCGTTTGATTGGCCGCCATATTTTCAATTTGTGCCCTCGTTTCAAAAGCACACCGCCCCATCAGCGAGCTGCCCGCTGCTATATCCAAAGACATCCTTAACTCTGGAGTGATCCCTGAATAGAAGATCTTGAGCTCCATGAAGTCAGGAATCTCATGGTGAGGGCAGTTACGAAGCAGCTGTCTGTAGGGGGAAATTGCAAAAAGTATCTCACACGTATAATCCATTATCACTTTTGTCATGTATTTATCTCGCTGACAAAATATATCCCACATGTTTGCACAAGTCGCTATTTC